AGCAAAACTCTTCTATTCTGTGCTCCTGAGACAACAAACTGATAAAGACAGTTTCAAGGTGATCAGATGTTATTTCCCTTCCTGTTGAGAGAGAGAGAGAGAGAGAGAGAGAGAGAGAGAGAGAGAGAGAGAGAGAGAGAGAGAGAGAGAGAGAGAGAGAGAGAGAGAGAGAGAGAGAGAGAGAGAGAGAGAGAGAGAGAGAGAGAGAGAGAGAGAGAGAGAGAGAGAGAGAGAGAGAGAGAGAGAGAGAGAGAGAGAGAGAGAGAGAGAGAGAGAGAGAGAGAGAGAGAGAGAGAGAGAGAGAGAGAGAGAGAGAGAGAGAGAGAGAGAGAGAGAGAGAGAGAGAGAGAGAGAGAGAGAGAGAGAGAGAGAGAGAGAGAGACTTTTTTTTTACTCAATAGCGCTCAGCCTTTTATGATGTTTGGTTTTTTTTCAAAGCAAAGTTTCCTCTAATGTCCTCAGCCTGTTGGAACTGAAATGTAAAGTCAGAAGTTGGTCCAGAGTCTGTAGTCCTCATGTCCCCATGTACAGAGTCTGTAGTCCTCATGTCCCCATGTACAGAGTCTGTAGTCCTCATGTCCCCATGTACAGAGTCTGTAGTCCTCATCTCCCCATGTACAGAGTCTGTAGTCCTCATCTCCCCATGTACAGAGTCTGTAGTCCTCATGTCCCCATGTACAGAGTCTGTAGTCCTCATGTCCCCATGTACAGAGTCTGTAGTCCTCATCTCCCCATGTACAGAGTCTGTAGTCCTCTTCGGCCCATGAGTCATTAATGTCATAACTAAAGAACTAGGAAACAGGAAATAAACTAAAAGTAGAAACACTTAGACTCGATCGGCACTCAGCGTCGGCTGCTTTTTGTCCCGGTGCTCACAGCACTCTCAGTTGAAACGAGGTTGATTTTTAAGGCGGCGGCGTGCTCGTCACAGTCACTTCTCTAGCTGTCGATTCCTACAATCCCTTTCTGATGAGCTCATGTTTTAATCAAAGACCATTTTAAGCATACAGAGCGATTTAAAAACCCCTCTTAACGGGTTACTATCAAGGGAAGCTGAAGTGCTTTCATAACCTAGCAACACCAGGTGCTGTTGAAAATCGCTCAGGTAAATGTCAAAATGGTGTCAAAGGGTAAACACTGGAGAAAAAGAGGATTTTCTGGCACAAACTTCACCAACTGACAAGGTGCATGAAGAGTGAAAGGCTTAGAAGAGGTCAACATGCTCCAGCAACACTTGTAGCAAGAAGATCAACTTTATTAACAATTTAGACCAACGCGTTTCGGCTCGTGGTCATCCGATCGATGACCCTGATGAAGGCCACGAGCCGAAACGTCTCGGTCTAAATTGTCAAAGGGAAAACAAACAGGCAACCTTTCCTTTCTTTAACGTATGCTGAAGTCGTTCACTGACGTGGTTAACCCCATCACTCATATTCCTATCTAACCGTGTGTTATGACAGATTGTTGTCTTTTCTGATTTAACCCGTCTCATCCGGGGTGACCTCTGTGTGAAGACACGTCAGCGCCCAATCAGACGGCTTGTTCATTGATCTCTTGTCAAAAGCCAGATGACACTTCCTCCTGCCTTCATGCGATGACAGAAGATGAAAGCAGAGCTGTCGCTTGTGATGCAACACGTTGCAACGCATGTCCATGTTGTCCATTTTCACCGTTTCACATGTAACAGAGTTGGAACTCTGCATGCAGCCGTTTGATGTCTGTGTTTTGTTAAAGGATGGCCAAGCATGGACTCTTTGAATTGTCATGTGGAACTGATCAATAGCCAATCAGGAAGCAGGTTGACTGAAGCAGGAAGCACAACAAACAAAGCATAAAGTAAGTTGGATGTCATAAATTCAGGACCGACTTGTTGATTCGTGTTTATGTAACAGGTGGATTTTTCTGCGTTGTGTTTTGGGGTCAAATGATGCTGTGACACCAGGGTTTTTAGGGGTAACACAGACAAAACTCAGCTTCATTTTCCCAGTCGGCTCCAGATCCTCTCCCACAGGGAATTGTACAGAAGACCCCGAGGGGAGGCGGCAAAACGGATATGTAATAATAACCAAAGAAGAAGAAAACAAAGGAAGAAGGGGCTGCGGACTACAAAATAAGACATAACAGACAATTGCCGGGTAATTTCTGTGTAATTATTAAAACAAACAGTGAAATAGGCACTAACATATTTGACTCTGGCCTACCACAAACGACCTGACAGGAGTTGGACCAAAATGTTTACCTGAATGGATGTACAAGCTAACAGCTAGCCTCGTTTGGCCCATCATTTTCAGCATTTCCACCGCTGCCTGAAGTCCTGGGAAGATTGGGAAAATCAGGCTGTATTTCATTGCAAATGAATTCATTGGTTAGTGTTTCTTTAAAAAGGAAAGAGAGTTAGGACTGGATGCCTCACGACCCCACATTAGACCTCTGACAGTTCTTCTTTTGTAGTTTTCTTTCTATTGATTTTTATACTTTTTGTTCTGTTCCTCTGTTCCCTAAGTCATAATTAGTCTGGTGTTTTTTGTACTTTGTCCTAAAAGTAACAGCACAGATAAAGTGGGGGAAAAAAATCAGTCTTGCAGCTTCTTGCAGCTTCAGTCTTTTAAACACGGTAGGGGATCTAAAACCCTGCAGTGCCCGACCAATCAGAAACGTCCATCACTGAAGGTACTGCATGCCCTGTCCCCCAAAGTTCCTGGACCTTTAGAAAGTACTACTCCTCTAGCAGGGTCTTTTTTTAGGGGTAGATCTTTTACCCCAGAACTAAATTTAGACCCTGGTTCCTGCGGTTGAAATGTACATAGTTCCTCAGAAGGTACCTAGTTCTTGGGGAGAGTTCCTTCGGTCGAGAAGGGGCTTCATGTTACCAGATGTGATTAAAACATATGCACAGAAACTGACTTCATACAAGTCTGTCATTTCAGCAAACTGTAAGAGTAATTTTAAATCAAAGTAAACTGAAAAAGGCTTGAAAGTTATTTTTTTTTAAATTGCAGAAAGCAGCTTTTTGCAGAAAAATAACAACTTTTTTTTCCCTTAAATGTTGATTTGAATCATCAGACGGAGTTCAGTCGTTGTAATCTCAAAGCATGCTCACTGATGACTCCTGCTCAGTTGCATCGATGCAGGAAATGACATCCCTGATCAGAAGTCTGTTTTTTTTTACAGGATGCTGCTTCACTGTCGATTTATCTTTGAGTTTTACTTCTCTCCCGTGTTATGGAATTCAAAAATAATCTACTTCTGACAATAACGATGTCACAGTGAATTTAAATTTGCATTTCAATTCAGTGAAAGAGGAACGTTTTGCACCTCGTTGGTATAGACTCCTGGTCAGAAAACTAATGTTTCCTCATGTTTCCCTTGTTCCTTTTTTCTCATATAGATTCAGAGATTGAGATTCCACAGATTTCACACTTGCAGAAAACTCCTGAAAGTGTGGAGAGATCAGTCGGTGTCTGGGTAGTCTGATGCCAACTCATGGAAAATAAATGAGAAAACAAAAAGATTGTGACATCAGTCGACTTTGGAAAGGCCCTCATATGATGAAATGAAAAGCAAAAGAAAGGTGAGAAGAATATTGAAACAGCTCGGTGCAACACTTAACCGAACACTGAGCAGAGCAGAGCAGGCCGATTCTTTTTCAACTTTCCAAGATGAAAAAGTAAAATGTTTTTTTGTTTCTTTTATGAATCAATATTAATGCTGATTGAACTTGGTGAGGTGTCAACTCTTTTCATGTATTGATTCAGAAATGTTTTTTGGCACATCAGCTTGAAAAAGAAGACACTGAAGATGCGGGGGGGGGGGATAAAAAGGACGATAACAATTTTCCATTTAGGAGAGAAAAGAAAAATATGATTTTATATAACTCTGCTTGGGATGCAGCTCATGTGTTTTTCTAATCTATCATTTTATATTGTTGTATGCAGCGTCAGGATTCAACAGTGGGACCTGCATTATCCATCCATCTATTATCTGTACCGCAGCCCAGCTGTGATTGACTGGAGACCATTACAGGGTGTACCCCGCCTCCCCGCCTCTCGCCCAATGACAGCTGTTATCTATTGATAATAGAGACTGACAACCAGTCACACTCACATCCACACCTACGGCCATTCAGTCAACAATTAACCTAACGAGCATGTCTTTGGACTGTGGGAGGAAGTGAGTACCAGAGAAAACTCCACACAGAAGGAGCTCCTGTCCGACAGGGATTCGAACCAGGAATCTTCTCGCCATGTGGCAACAGCGCTAACCACTGCACCGCCGTGCATCCCTGGACCTACATCATGTTATAATTAATCCTGCTATTTTAAGCCACTTTTTTTATCTAGAATAAACTTTGTCTGCGAGAAGCATTTTGTGAAAAGTGCATCAATCGACGGATATAATGTGTTCACTTTGTTGAACTTTATCATCCATCCATCCATTATCTAAACTGCTTTTCCCCCCTCAGGGTTGCATGGGACTGGAGTCGATCCAGCTGCAATTAGGCGAGAGGCGAGGTAAACCCTGGGCTGGTCGACAGTCAATAACAGCGCTGACAGATAGAGAGAGACAACCAGCACACCAGGATATCAGTCAACAATTAACGAGCATGTCTTTGGACTGTGGGAGGAAGGGAGTAGCAGAGAGAGCACGGGGAGACCATGCAAACTCCACACAGAAAGGCCTTTTCGAATCAGACCTGTGGCTCTTTTCCTGCATGACATCCTCCCACTTTCTCTCTCCCTCATTTCTGACTCTATCCACTGTCCTGTCTCTACATTAAAAGCCCAAAAAGCCTTGGACCTGTGTTATGTTATAATCATTTTAAGCTCCTTTTTGTCCAGAAAGAACTTTGCGAAAAGAGTATTGACCAATTAATTTAATCGTCTCTCAATGTTTCTGATGCTGCTGTTTCTTAAAGCCATGTCCGGTCAGGAGAAAGACTGATGAAAAACCATCTATACATTTAAAATCAGAGCACAGGCACATTGCAACATGTGACACGGCGCTCGTGTTCTGCATCACAGCCGGCGGCTTCTGGAAATTTCAGAGAAAGCTAATTCTAGGAGGAAATCTTTTTTCTGCTGTAATGAATTCAGACACACATTTTAATTTCCAGCCATATTCTGCTCAAATGAATTCAGTGTCATTGGTGTCATGCCATCCCATTTTTCACCACGTTTTAAGGGAAATAAATGTGACCAGATGGTGAAATTGGATGTGTTTCTGTCACAAAATGGGGCCACTTCTAAAAGCTATGGAGCTATGGATCAGTCTCAATATTCACAAATGCACACAGAAGGATTCACAATGTATTTCAATGCACACACACAAATATATTTCATTCTATATAAATGTAAAACTAATCCACAAATAAAAAAAATAAGATTCACAAATGTATTTCTGATTCACACACAAACATTTATCGTTCTGTATATATGTAGTAGAAATCCACAAATATACGATATACATATATATTTCAAAAACACATTTGTATCTTGTTACATTTATATACAAACCGTTTGTCATTTTTTTTTCGGTCACCTGAAGCGGCTCTGTTTAGAAATACCAATTAGATGTCCTCATGTGAATATGGGAGTTGGGGCAGAAACGACATCCTGCTATGAGTCAATTTCAAAGTACATCGAGTCGATTCCAATCTAGGCCTTCGAGGGATCCTGCGTCTGGAGAACCTACTTTCAATTGTTTGTTTGTTTTTTGTAATCCGAACATAGAATGCGGGTAAACGGCATTTGATGGCTTAGCCTGAATAAGCATTTTTCTCCTCCGGCTCCTCGTCTGTGATCCGATTGAGGATTGTGGAATTAAAAAACGCTGTATCATTCTGATCATCCCTCTCTTATTCGTCTACCTCAGGTTGTTATTGAAGTGCTTGAACTCTGGTAATGTGGATCTCCAAGCCAAACACACACACACAAAACACAAATCAAATGATACAGATAAACAGAAGGAATACTGAACAAGGTGTCAGCCATACACACACACACACACACACACACACACACACACACACACACACACACACACACACACACACACACACACACAAAAAATACAAATCAAATGATACAGATAAACAGAAGGAATACTGAACAAGGTGTCAGCCATATATATATATACACACACACACACACACACACACACACACACACACACACACACACACACACACACACACACACACACACACACACACACACACACACACACACACACACACACACACACACACACAAATGCTGCTTTATTTCACTCCCACACAACACACACTGCAGACCCGCTTTTAAAGCTGTTACCGCCACCCCGCCACACGGCCACAGAGAAAAAGGCGCTGTGGGATGTATGGTTAAATTATGATTTGCGATACACTTTATTGGCCCCGGTGGGAAATTTGTCTTGGACTCACAGTGCTGCCAAACATTCAGCTGCTTCCACTCGAAATCAATAAATAACAACAATAGAAAAATCACATCTGCACATAAACAAACAGGCACATAACCAATACAGAGCAACACAACATATATTCACCCAATCCCTTTCCAAGCCCGGCGCAGTCTAGACCTGTGAAGGCTGTTTCATCATGAGCCGGGGATCCAGCCGAAGAGTTCTGCCTTTTAATAAGACAGTTTTTTCTTACCACTGTAACTTTTGCTGCTTTGCTAAAGTGCTCATGATGGATAGGCCGGATCTTTGTAACATAACAATGAGTAAGGTCTTTTACCTGCTTTTTGTAACATAACAATGAGTAAAGTCTTTTACCTGCTTTTTGTAACATAACAATGAGTAAGGTCTTTTACCTGCTTTTTGTAACATAACAATGAGTAAGGTCTTTTACCTGCTTTTTGTAACATAACAATGAGTAAGGTCTTTTACCTGCTTTTTGTAACATAACAATGAGTAAGGTCTATTACCTGCTTTTTGTAAAGTGTCTTGAGATAACACTTGTTATGAGTTGATGCTATACAAATAAAAATTGATTGATTGATTGATTGATTGATGATTACCTATATTGCACAAGATCTGAAAAACACAGCATGAGAGATAAAAAAAAAAAAAGGTTAGTAAATACAAACACACCACGAGGCTATTGCACAGCCCACACCTTATGAAACATTATTCAGAATTTTTATCGACGTGGGGTGGGAACAAAATAAGTTTTCAAAGTTTTTAAAGCAGTTCAGTTTCCATCGGGGTGACTCTGTATCGTCTGCCAGAAGGTAGAAGCTCGTACTCAGAGTGGAGGATGTGAGACGGGTCAGACAACACACTCTGTGCCTGTCTGAGAACAGACTGCTCATATATTGGCTGTAGAGAGTTTTCAGTCCTCCCCATGCATCACCTTCATGGCAGTGTGAAAAAGAGGAACAAGTTTAGACTTCACCTGAACAGAGAGGTTACCATGCCACGCTGACATGCAGTACCTGAGGATACTCTCCAACACGGCCTGATAAAACAAAAACATGATCTTATGGTCAACACCAAACACCCTGAGTACGAGAACACAAATTATCAACATGACTTTTACAGCGAAACTGGTTATCAAGGGCATTGTGAGGGTATTCAGGTCAAGTGCAGACATTCACTGTCTGACCTCAAAGCACGGTGGTGGACTTTGTCGAGTAAAATACAATAACTGGAAGAAAGAGAAAGAAGAAGTGGTGGTCTGGTTGCTCATAGCGATCAGCGTGAGTTATAAAAATGAAGGCCCTGTCAGCCGCTCTGGTCCTTTTGTATCCGTTTGACCTTATCCTGTCCTCATTATAAACCAAGCAGCAGAACATTAGACGACCATGCTGACTCAGCTGATTTAAGACCTACAAGACCCTTAAATTCAAGAAATGCCTTTCACATCAGGAGATTGTGTCGGGACGTGCAGCTCCACAAGGAGCTCCTTTTACATTGCCAGTTCAAGGCGGGCATTTGTGCGACTGTTACGCCTCGTGTACAATGTAAATACATTGACTGTATATATATATGGACAACAGGTCTCCATCTTCTTCAGTTGTACAACATTGAAGCCATTGCACTGGAGACTTCATTTGGAGCAAGGTCATGCGGAGAAGGGATCTCGCCTGAGGAGCTGAGGAATTGTTGCCCCGGTTCATTCATCAAACCAAAACACCACGTTTAACTTTCGATAAAAGACCTCTCAAGTCGGTTTAGTCCAAAGCAGAAGATTCTAGAAAAACACAGTTTTGGAAAATCGAATGACTGGTTTTTAACGTCTCCCTTGCTGCTAGCTGTTGATCATGATAATACATTTTCTCTTTTATACATCGAATAACAAATTAAAATCAAAGTTAACTGACAAATTAAAGGGGACATATTGTGAAAAATTCACTTCTACAGTGTTTCTGAACATTTATTTGGGTAACCTGAGTGTCTACTGACCCACAAAATGTGAAATAAACCCATCCAGTCCTTTGTTTGTGGTCTACATAAGTCTTACAACACAGAGAAAAATGCTCCGTTTCAAATGTGCTCTCCTTGTGATGTCACAGTGGGATTCTGGTATCTCCCCTGGTATCTCCACACATGGACTCCACCCCCAGCCTAGGAAATAAAACTTTTGCGCAGGTCGGCCATTTTTATTCTCACTACAGAGGAGTGATGTCTACGGGGAAAACTCAGGGGGGGGGTCATTACATTTAAAGAGACACACACACCAAAACGGAGCGTTCTGAGAGAGCTGGTTTATACAGGGTCACAAACCTCCTCTGGTGCTTGATTCATGTTATATTTTGACCAAAGCACAGCACAGATGTTTCATTTAGACCACAGGGGACTGTTTGAAAAGGTGGAGAAGGGGGATAATATGTCCTCTTTAAGACTTGGACATAAATCAGCGTGATATTAACTAAACATCAAGACAGAATCCAGGTTTGATTTTTTTTTTGTTTAGATGTATTTTAGTTTTAAAGTTTGCCCCATGTTTCATCTGTTAACATGGAGGAGGCGGGGTTTGTGACATATAGTGTAGCCAGTCAGTAGGGGGAGCTCTAAATCTTTTGGCCTAAGTTTCAGGAGGCTTCTGTTTCGTCCTCTTTTGTAAATAACACTGAGGAGTAATGGTGGAGCGAAGGTAAGATAGGCCTACTGTTGGTTTCCTGGATATATGTATGACCACATTTCAGCAAAAATACAAACACAACAGTAGAACACATAATATTGAAGTAACAACAACAACACTATTACCCTGCTCACTCACTCCAATGAATGTTCCAGACCTCGACCTGCTGTGTTCACACGTCAGCTCACCTGAACTCTGCACGGCTCTGCCCCGTCACCTGAAAAGAGGTCGGAATTGCCGGCGATTGAAAAAGCAGGCCTGAAAAGAGATGGCGTATCAGTGTTGGAAATCAGCTTGCTGTCTTTCTTTGGAGCCACCAGGATGACCTTATGGTGAGATAAAAAAAGAGGGGAAGGATGGGCAGGTCAGGTTTGAAATTGAATACATGTGGCTCTGTAGAAACGAGAGGAATCGACGGGGTTAGGTATCGTCAGACACAGCTTTAACGTCAAACACTGGGGAGATGTCTGATCCCTCTGTACAGAACAAAAAACAAACCTTGTGGTGTCTGGTGTCCCAGGCAGCAAAGCATCCCTCATATTGTGTAATTCTTCCCTCTGTTTACAAGGTCTCAGACTGAGCCTTGGCAGAAAAGAAAACATCATGGAGTGGGCTGTGTGGATGTGTGAGCGCCATCTGGAGTAGACGGAAGGGAGCCCGCCGAGGTGCAGAGAAGGCATTGACAGTCAAAGAAATCCTTGGCGTGTAGTAGATATGCAGAAGAAGCACCGTGCTCCTGAAGAGAGGAGATGAGGGGATTGGCTCTGGGAAGAGTTCTGCCACTTGTTCTGTCATTCAGTGGTGGGCTGCAGGGCTGATGAAGGCTGTATCATAATCCTTTTCTGATCTCTCTGCTGAGACCCTCGTTCGATCCATGTCATATCGAGATGGAGCCTCTGTAGTTGCTTAGAACAACCTGCCGAAATCATCCATTGTTCTTGCAGGAAAAAGACGACTGGACGTAATAACATTTGTAGAGAAAGAGAAAGATGTCTTTTTGGAGTGTCAGCGCTTCAGTGGAATCACTGCAGGACAGCCGAGCTTATCTGACTCATGATGACTGATGTGACTCTGGCAGGTGCTGCGTCTGATGAAGCGCTGCGGTGTCAGAACAAGAGCAAACAGAAACATACCGAGGAGGAAGCTTGGCCGTTCTCATGATTATAATGTACTGGGATTTATTTATTTTTCCCCATTTCATTCATCCTATCCTGCTGTCGGCCTTATTACCCCTCTGAGTACATGAAGTCGTCATGACGGAGTCTAATCCCCAAAGACTTTGCACATTTATTTCCTGTATTGTTAAATAAATAATTGTTCATTCTTAAGTAAGTCTCTCCTGATTCAAAGTGCTCAGTTGAACAGCTAAAAGAGAAGAGCCGACGGATATGTGTATATAGGGGTGATGCAGTGTCCTTTTACAAATGTGTTTTGGATCTTATATGTGCTTTTCAATCTATTTGTTCACTTTTTAATGATAGTTTGTATTGTTTTATTTGTGTCTTCTGTAAAGCACATTTAGTTTAAATGTACAGCTTGAAATGTGCTATAAAAATTAATAAGAATTAAATATGTTGGAAACCAATAAACATCACCAGAGTAATGACATTCCCATGCAGACATCCCTATAATTAGCTCTATGTCAAGTCAATAAAGTAAAAAAAAAAATCTCCCGGCCTCACCCTCCATTCATACTTCACATGCCATTGCAGAACAGAGCAGCTGAGCTCCCGTTTCTCCGACGGTCTTTGAATGCAGCAGGAGGAGTCACGCGTTGTTTGCCTGGCCGGGTGTAAACATGGCGGACGATGGGGAGTCGTTGGAGTCCTGGCTTAGTAAGTCCACTCTCAAACCTCCTTTTTTTTTTTAAACACTATTTTGTTCAAATTAAGGTTTGAACTAAATGCGGAGGGTGTCGTTAACGTTGACATCGCGTTTAAAACAGCTTCTCGCGATAACTCACAGTGTGTCGACAGGAGGGAGCTAACAGGAGAGCTGCAGGATAATGATGGAAGTCGATGTTAGCCACAGATAAAAAACAACAACAAGCTTTTCTGTTTGTAGTTGTGTCCTGGACTTACAGTCGGTGTGTTACAGGGTTGCAAACATTGAATTATTATCTACACTTTGTGTGTTTTTTGCTGACTGGAGTTACAGACGGCTAATGTAATGTAAACACCTTCAGGCTTTACCTTTATCCAGGTTCAAACCAACAGGGCTGCATGTCAACAACAACAACAACAACAACAACAACAAATTAGATTAGAGAAGAATCTGACAGCTATGAATTCATAATGCAACATGCATTAAAACAGAAGTGTTGTATGCATGCTTTGTTAGTCCAGTGTTGAGTTCAATGTTTGTCAGATTTATGAAATGTCTCCTTCTTGTTTTGTTTTTTTCCCCTCTGCCTGGTTGCTCTGATCTCCATAAATGTTTGTGTCTAATTTAAATAAACGCCGTCAGGGCTGCGTGTTCATAAGACATCACCTCCTCCTCGTTGTGTTCCAGACAAAGCCACCAGCCCCTCCAACAGGCAGGAAGACTGGGAGTACATAATGGGCTTCTGTGACCAAATCAACAAGGAGCTCGAAGGGTACAGGTCACACTCGTTCAATAAACACACTCGTCGTCGTTGTTGGAACACGGGGAGCCCATTATGAAAAGCTGAAGACAACGTGTGGATTGTGTTCATTGAGTTTTGCTTTTTGTGTCTCTTACGATTTTTCAGCCCGCAAATATCTGTCCGACTTTTGGCTCACAAGATTCAGTCGCCTCAGGAATGGGAGGCGATTCAGGCGTTAACGGTGAGTAGTGGATGTCAGCAGTGTCAGTGAGTGGTTGTGTGTGTGAGAAGGAACATGCAGTCTCTCTGATCAGACTGGGAGCTCTGGCACCAGGTACCAATCACAGGAACCTGCAACACAAGAAGAGAGAAGGCTGCCACCGTCACAACAAGGAAAAAGGAAGAAGATGGTTGCGCCAGATTTAGCGAGTTGCTAACATCCAAGTCCAAGTTGCTCCCACTGCTTCTTCGATGGTGTATGAATGTATGTATGTAGTCTCTACCATCAGGGTGTGAATGTGTAGGTGTGAGCTGCAGTGTAATAAGAGCTTTGAGTAGTCAGAAGACGAGAAAAGAAATATACAAGTTCAAGTCCATTTGTGTTTTCCATTTTAACATGAAGCAGGTTTTTGTGTTGTTGGAGGATAATTGTTCCATGTTGTGTTTGTGTGAAGGTTCTGGAGGCTTGTATGAAGAACTGTGGGAGAAGGTTTCACAACGAAGTCGGCAAATTTAGGTTTTTAAATGAATTAATCAAAGTTGTTTCACCCAAGGTAAGAACCCCCCCCCACACACCTCTCATGTGGATTCTTTTTTTCAAATGTTGCTTGATGTCAATCTAAACTGTGCGTGTTTTTCTCTTCAGTATCTAGGAGACAAAGTGTCGGAGGGAGTGAAGATCAAAGTGATCGAGATGTTGTACAGCTGGACGATGTCTCTGCCGGATGAAGCCAAGATCTGTGAAGCGTATCAGATGCTGAAGTCACAGGGTGAGCCAGCAGCCAATCAGAGACCGTTTAAAGGTTGGGCATGGAGACCCGGTTTCCACCATGAAGATATTTCATTTATGTTTAGAACGATAACGAAGGTCAACGTGTGATGTCATGAGGTCAACGTGTGATGTCATGAGGTCAACGTGTGATGTCATGAGGTCAACGTGTGATGTCATGAGGTGGATATTTGGACTCGTCAGCTGAGCTGTCTGAGAGTTTGTTAAAGTGAAATGAGACATTCAGAGATGCAGCAGTGTCCTTCTTTTACATCACTGTGACTACAGGGACGACTGTCTACAGTGAGCCTGAAGGGACAAAAAGAAAAAGCATGAGATTAATCAGAGTTAAAAAATGAATGCATTCATTTTAGGCCTCAATTGAGATCGGGCGCTCAAGAGAGTGAGAGTGCAGGCGTGTGCAGAAACTCACTGAGCACACAGAATTTTGAACAGTTCATGATCCCTCGGTGGCTCCGAGCAACATTACCAAAACTCCCGACTCCTGTGGAGAGATACGATGCAGCAAAACCAAGACAGGTCGTCCATCAGTTATGACTTGTGTTTCTAACTGTTTTAATTTTGTCATCCGTTATTAGGAATTGTTTCAGAGGACCCAGAGATCCCTCTTGATGCCACGTTGATACCGTCACCATCTCCTCGACCCAAGAACCCCGTGTTTGACGACGAGAAGAAGAGCAAGGTAAAAGCTGCACCTGGCTGCTTTCACGCTCCTGTCTCATATCTGTTAAAGATGCAGATGCAGCGACTCATGGTACCACTGCAGTCAACGTATCAAAGATCTGGCACATCATGCTCCCAGCCTCCCTGCCGGCTTCACGACCCTGAAAGGAAGAGTTTGACATTTCTTAGAAAAGCCTTATCGGCTTCTTGGTGAGAGTAAGACAGGAAGATCAATTCATCGCGTTTATCTCCCCCGCTACAGACTGGAGCTCTTATCAACACAAAGTCACCGCCCCTCCACTTTGCCAAAAAAATGATTCAGCTTCAAACTGCCCTTTGAGTCACAATGTGTTGTTTTTGTTTACTGTCGTTTTGATGGGACTGAACGCACTGGGTCTGGTGTGGCATGTTAATTAGGCTGATTTCCATAATGCAGGTCTGTGGCTTGTCGTCCACTCAGAGTTTGGCTCCATGTTTCAGCTCCTTCTCCTTCCTCCTCAAGTTCAATACTTCAGTACTTATTGATGACACGTCTTTGAATGACACCATCGCTGATATTTTATTCTGTCATATTTTTCAGAGAGAGAGAGAGAGAGAGAGAGAGAGAGAGAGAGAGAGAGAGAGAGAGAGAGAGAGAGAGAGAGAGAGAGAGAGAGAGAGAGAGAGAGAGAGAGAGAGAGAGAGAGAGAGAGAGAGAGAGAGAGAGAGAGAGAGAGAGAGAGAGAGAGAGGCATGGATAAATATTTCTCTTAGCTCATTCTACAACAGAGAAGAAGAGTGAGAAAAAAGGAAGGGAAAAATAGAAAAGAGAGAGCAAAAGAACAACAGAGCATATTAACTTATCAAAAAAAAGAAGTGAAACGTTTAAAGTAAATTATATATCTTACTCTGGACTTTTTTCTGTGGAGCATGTCTCAATAACAGAGTATATCATGTTTAACCCATTTAGCATTTTTAGCTTTATTTATTGCTAATCTGACATGCTGTGTGTGTCACGCTCGTGGTTACTCGGTGGTGACCTCCAGGTGATCTATGGATGTTGTTGTTTCTTCAGGAGTCTGGGAGCCGGGTCTGCTTTTGCTGCTTGTGTTTGTGTTAGTCTGTGGGAAATGAGATGTTGCTGTTTTACCCGCTGAGTGTGCTCTCATCTCTCTCTGCAGAGATTGTCCGAGCTGCTGAAGAGCAAAAAGCCCGAAGATCTGCAAGAGGCCAATCGGCTCATCAAGAACATGGTGAAGGAGGTGCGGTGCTGGTTTTCTTCAGAGCTGTTTTCACACATGCACTCCTCAAGAGATTCCAGACGGCCAGCTGATAAAATGATCCTGAGAAGTCCCTCACAGCGTGTGTGTGCGTGTGTGTGTGTCAGTGTGTGTGTCTGACAGTGTGTGTATGTGGAGCTCCCGCTGCGCCAAGCATCAACAACGCCAAAACGCAGTGTGATCTCACAGACTGGGACGCCAATATTACGCCATCGCAGAATCAATGCACAAAGACAGGATGACGGCTGAGCTTAGTTTAAAAACAGCTGAGAGTCCAACACTATGATACGTTTTTTTTTTGTTTTTTTTATCTTTACGTCGGCAGCACACGTAATCGCAGCATCAACTGACAAATAGGGAAAAAGAATAGAATAGAATTACTTTATTGATCCCAAAATGGGAAATTGTGGAAGAACTGGGAATTGGTGGAAATATACTGGCGAGTAAGAAGATAGCTCTGTTACGTCGCTCTTTGCTTTACTTGATATAAACGTCAGCACTCGCTTCCTGCTCGCCCGCGGGGAATTCCCCACGTGCAGATTTTACTCGGGGACTGGCCTGAAAGAGTCTGGGTGAAATATTCTGCAGTTTGCGCTGACTCACTCAGGTCAGCCTGACAAGTTACAGTGACATCTCCTGAGTTTTGTGTGAAGTGTGAAAACTTTTGATTCATTTACAATTTTTTTTTTAAAAGAGAAAAGACGACACAATTAAAATGTATGAAGCACTATCATATAGAATTCCTCTTCTAATCTTCAGGATGAGGTGAGAACACAAAGAAGTACGAAGCAACAAATCACCCTGGAGGCGGTCAACAACAGCGTGAAGGTCCTGAATGAGATGATCGCTCACTTCAGCCCAGAAGACTCCACAGACGCAGACAAGGAGCTCATTAAGGTTTCGCTCTCTCTCCGCTTAAAGTGACCTTTTGAAACAATTTCAATTCTTTCTGTGGCACGAGTTGAACTTTCTGAAAACACTGTGACTACTGCTAAACGCTTTGTGGACACAGAGAGAGGAGCGCAGAGTCATTCATTGGCTACATTAAGGCAGGCAACTTCATGGAATGATTGAATATATATTTAATATCTTTGTAGTAAAGTGACGATCACTATGTATGAGACACACGACCTCCTTCGATTTGGCAGTTTCTGAGACGATTCCAGCCGCTGAATATTCATGTGTCATGCTGTTTTTTAGGAGCTGTACGGTGATTGTGACAAGCTGAGGCAAACTGTGTTCCAGCTCGCCACAGAGACCGAGGACAACGACAGCTGCTTGGGTAAGAGCGCCTGTTTATTGAGTTCACTCTGAGGTATGGAACGATACGCTCAGCTCACAATAAGACGTCATTCGTGGTTATTGGGTCATCACTTCTTCTCTAAGGTGTTCATCATCTTCATCATCCCAAATCCTTAAAACACCAATGCACGTATCAGGGCGCACTCACACTAGGCAATCCGTACCGCACCCAGGCACGCTTGACCCAAAGTTTGTTTGACTTAGTGCTCAAGCATGGTGACCTTACCTTGGCCCTGACACGGATGGACGAGGTGTGCCTCGGAGCGGTACAGTTGCTCATGCACATGAAGTACAATCGATCCCCGCCTTCCATTATCGAGAAATCTCTGAGTGTTCTGGTTGTATCTGACAAAGTAGATGTCATGTTCTCTGTGTTCTCTGATGTGCAGATGCGGCCTCGACCTCGCGTTTTAGTCCACCTGTCTTGTAAACGGAGCACGCTTCATGATCACGTAAAGCCATGCGTGCACGTGTTGTATTACGACGTCATGTACAAGACGTCACCGTGCTCAGGCCCGGTTAGTCCTGGAGCAGTGTGACTGCAGGTCAGCGGGGGGGGGGGGGATGGGGGATGCTTCAGCGCGGTACGGGACAACTTTACCTAGTATGAGAGCGCCCTCAATCTCTGTAGCTCTTGCTCATATGGGGCGAGGGGGATTTTGTAATCTGCGTCCTGAGCTTCTCAACGTAGCGCTGTTATACGTGCGCTCGCTTCATGTGGGCGGAGCTACTGTATATGTCAGGGATGGGCAACTTCGGTCACAGCAAGGGTCACATTCATTTAATTCTCACTGCCAGAGGGCCAAATAGTAGTTTCCAGAAACAATTACAATCAATTATGTCTCAAATTAAACTCAACACATACCAGTGATGAAATATTATCATGGACATATTTCTGGTTTTCATGATTTCATGGCAGATTTCATCATGTTTTCTTCATGTTTCTAATTAATTGATATGTAAAAATTGATCTGAGGGCCACGTTGAGGGTTGATGGGGGCCGCATGTGGCCCCCGGGCCGGCAGTTGCCCACCCCTGGTATACAGTATGTGCTGTTCATCAGACTCTTGCAATATTTGCACACTGGTTGTTTTTCTTGTCTGTTCAGCGCTCACCTCACTTCTTCACCCTCTCTGCTTCAGAGACTTCGACTTCAAGCAAGAGTAGCCAAAAGCAGACGGCTCCCTCTACTGGTTAAAAAATAGAATTGCACGTTTATGTTTTTTGACTCATAGATTTACATAGTCCATATTTGTATTGATTTTATATTGTATCGTGAGTTATCAATTCATCCCTGCTGAAGACGTTTTAGAATATAGAATAACTTTATTGATCCCAAACTGGTAAATTGTTACAGCAGCAGGTTATCAAAGCAAATAAAACAATATAAGAATAGATACATAAATAAGCACTTAGAATATAAAACATAAGAAAAGGAAGAGATTTATACATGAAGGATTTAACTTAACATTCCTACTGGTTTAAAAAAAATTAAACATGAAATACAACATTTATTCAGGCTTGTCAACTGAATGTAAAAATACTTGCTGGATGTAAGAGATGTAAGTTTGCAAAAACAGTGATGACAGTGGTAAATGTGCAATAACGATAGTTTTCATTCAATCCTAATGTGTGTGTGAAAAAGTTGAGTCCTGATTTACAGAAGACTGATGCTGATGGTTTTACACCCGAACGACCAACTGACTGATCAAATATGTCAGGCTGCTTACTGAATAAATCCCAGACCATGTCGGGAGTTATTGTTGTTGTTTATGTTTAAAGAGTCTACATAGACCTCACCCCTGTGTAACCTTTTTAAAAAATGCCGTCCTCAGGAGACATCCTGCAGGCCAGCGATGACCTTTCCCACGTCATGAACTCGTATAAGAAGATTGTGGAGCGACAGACGGTCAACGGAGAGACTGAGGGAACACAGCGCACTCAATCATCCGTCACACCGGGTGAATATTACCTCGTGACATTTGGCAAAACAGTTTAGAAGACGTGTTTTACAAGACAGCGTCTGTTGTTGTGAATCACAACTTAATCAGAGACAACAGGCGCCGATAAAAACATACTGACAGGTTGAAGATTGTGTTTGGAAATATGATACAAAATAAAAATAAATGCAAAATAAATCTTTTCCCCCCTCACTAAATTATACTTTTGGTAATTAGAATTGTAAGCATCGTCGCTCTGATTGTATCGAGCAGCTGGGAATAAGGACATTTATTATCGAAATGAACATACTCTTGAGACTCCACACACACACACACACACACACACACACACACACACACACACACACACACACACACACAACCACACACCCAACAGAAACAATCATCTGCATGGCTGCTGTAAATTTTTCTTAACAGAAAAGCTCCCGCTGATCTATAAAGGAGCAATATGTAACTCTGACACCTAGTGGTTAAAACGGGTACTGCACTCTAAATTCTAAAAATTGTAGAGCGCTGTCTCCCCCCCCTCCTCTCTAGAGTCGATGCTCACTCAGGTCACCATGTGGTGGACTCTGAAGCTTCAGTGTTTATCCAGCTCTGCATGGGTCTGTAAACCTTTCTGTGTTCTAACCTCTCTCCATTTTTCAAAAGCATCTCCAATATTGATCCTAGTTTGAGCACGTTTCTGCTCGTGGAGCTTATTAGAAACATGCAGAGGCTTTTTAGGTCGGGTACAATCACTTCTATCTGAACCACTTCTCTTGCCCGCTTCCATCACTGCAACACCTGTTGACCTGATAACTGCTCTCATATCTGACAAACCGAGGGGCGTCCAAAATGGCCGTGTGGGGGGGGGTCACCTTAAAACCGCCTACCTTCTCTGGTTCAAACAAATCCAGAGCATTCAGGAGCAGAATCTAAAGTTACAAGGAGGACATACTGACTGCTGCATTGTTGTCAGAGAAGCCAGCACTTCAACATAGCATGTTTCCTTAATGTCTGATCATATAGTAAGATACCTTTATTATTTCATTCACACATTACATGTTTCTCTTCATCCTGCAGGCGGCGGTCGTACAAACCAGTCGGAGATCCTGATAGACTTGGTGGGTTTGGACAACCAGAGCGACTCTCCACCAGAGCTGCTGCGGCCCCCGGTATCCTCCCTCTCTATCCCTGCTGACCTGCTGTGTGGCTCTGCTGACCCTCACGCCTCCTGCCCCGGTGCACCTTCTGCAGCCCTCTCTCTCCTGGACGAGGAGCTGCTCTCTTTAGGTGACGTGCATTTCTTCTACAAACACCAGACATTAACGTTTGTTTGAGAATATCCTGTTAGCTGGGAATACGACTCATTTCTGTTCTCTTAACAGGTCTCAATGAAGCCGCTCCGGTTCCAAGTAAAACAACCAATATAAACCTGAACAACAATCTAGCCTCCTTACAGGTAACTAACTACAATAATTCAAACTAATGTCAGTATGATCTGAGTGGTAAAAGCAGTGTTTTTTGTTACCATGTTTCTCCAGGACTTGGACACGATTTGGATCTTTTTGACACCACCTCGTCTTTGGTTCCCGCATTCTCCCCGTCTCACTTTTTCCAGACGCTCTTTCAGCAGCCGCTTGCTCAGCCGTGTCCTCCGACCTCAGTCCCTGTCGACATCTTCTCCACGCCTCCGGTTTCTTCGGCATCTTTCTCGACAACATCGGGACATATATTCCCTCAGCCCCCCCCTGCTGCAGTCTCCATCACGGCGCTCCCCGCTCCTCTTCCTCAGGCCGCCGCAACGGTCTCGCCTGCTTCCTCGGCCGACCCCGCGGCCTCTCGCCGGCTCTCCGATTCAGCTGGAGGGTCCCACTCGCTTGCGAATTCTCTCAGCCACAACCTGCAAGACCTCGCCTTACTGGATCTGGGCAGTCCTAAAAAGTGAGTCAAAACAAATGTAAAAGTACAACTTCATCCTCGCGTCTCTCCTGCATAACTTCTCTGATGGTGGATCTAAAGACTGCAGGATGATCGGGGACGATTTGAGGGTCTGATTCCCCTGTCCTGACAATCCCGGGGGGGGGGGGTTCCTGACTCTAGGCTGCTCGGAACCGATTATCCTCCCAGATTATCTTGTAGTGTGAGTCATATAGAGATCCAATCTTAACGTTCCTGATCTGCTCGGAGATCCGACTGATTTATATCAAACTTGTTTTAACATTTAGGATTTCAAATCTTGACAATTACGTCATGAAAGGGTCTGGAGGAAGTCGTGTGTGAGGTCAGGAGGGGGTACGTTCCTCCGCCGGGCATGATAATCTCCTGTAGTCTGTGATGAGCCGTGATCTTCACAGCTTGCAGTGTGTCTGTGTGCATGCCAGAGATTATGGAGAAGAATATCTGTTAACGTTCTTTCTGTGATTCTTAAAATCAGGTCACATTTCGAAACTCGAGTGTGAGCCGTAGCTTTTCAATTAAAAAAAAGAAGCTTCTAAATGCTGCACAGCCTTCATTTCGTTTCCGTTCTTTTCTTGCTCTGATTTGTGTGTGATGAAACACTCAAGAGTCAAGGCGCTTCTTCCCACTCAGATTCTTACAGTCTTTCCCCACAAAAAAAAAAAATTCAAGTGCATGTCAACTACATCTTCACCAACCACAGATTGTGTCAAAAAATATCCTTAACCTTTGATTTGAAGTGATCCGGGGGTCACGCTGACACTTGGAGAAAATTGTGTTGTGCTGTTACTAAGCAATGTCCCTCAGAGCCGAGGCTAAAAAGATTTAATGAATGATTTTCTCATTTTTAAATGTCCTTAACGTTCCATTACCCCAGATTGATCAACATGCCAAGATTGTGTCCGAGCTTTTTAAATGTGTTGGCCTATCTGCTGCGTGACCACAGGAAGAGAAGCTTCTTTTTAACACAGAAGCTAATGATGAAGCTAATGATGAAGCTAATGATGTTCCAACTTCACATAGTTGACTTTTTTGACACAGTCGAGCATTGATGACATTTTTTTTTTTTTAGGACAGGCTGCCCCTAAAACTTTTCCTGACTTGCCTGTTCACTCATGCGCCCCTCACAGTGGGAGACTTTCCCTGTAGGACGGGGGGGGGTCTCGGGGACGGGGGGTCTCGGGGCGGGACATGACGTAAAAAAGACGACACAGAAATGATGGACAAAGCAAAAGAGTCGGACTCTAATATGACAGTTATTGTAAGAGAATAACTTTAATTCTGGTGTCCTGCAGCTTGTTCTGTGATCATCTACACGGCACCCCCGACGCGTTGGACGTTGGCAGCTTGCTGGTCGAGAGTAAGGAGCCGCACGCCCCCGCCGATCTGTCTTCAAACCCGGGCGTCCCCTCCTCCACCACGTCCTCCTCGCTGCTCCTAGGAGGGATGCACGACGGGTCCGGTGGTCTCCGCCCCTTCAGTCACCAGGCGGATGACAGCCCTCTGTTACGCTCTCTGTCCCCCGTCCTCCCTCTGAGCCTGCCCAGCCCGAGCAGGGAGCAGGACGCCTCCCTCGCCAACGTCTGTGTCCCTCTCGATGCCATCAAGCCGAGTGAGTCACACGACAGAGACGGTCTGATTTCTAATTTGTGCACATTCTGTGTTTGAGACAGTATGTTGCTTTTCATGATTTATTGTTGACGTGTTCTGAGCTACAAGGACATCGCATTGTGTCCGATTTCTCTGTGATTTAAATCCAAGTTTTAGCGTCCAGTGTTTCCCCTAACATTCAATCTGCTCACGTGTTCCTACAGAGGACGAGTTTTCCTCTTTGACACAGTCACACTTAGGGCTGAGTACCAACACATGTCGCCTGAATCGACTCGATTCAATATCTGAGAAGCGAGCGGAGCCTGAAGCCAACGTGACAGCCTGCTCGCAGCACAGAAATATGAAAGAAACTCTGATTTGAATGGATAGATTTGAAAGGGAATACAGCCGATTAAAAGATATATAAATGAAAATCTATTTAAATCCAAAGACCCAGCCCTGATCCCTCCGATTCACACGTCTCCTTGATGGTTTGTCTCAATCGCAGCGCCAGGATATGAAGTTTGTCTGGGACTCTTAACTGTTTCCTTTTCTTATAATAAAATAATAGTATAATAATTTCTACAGCGCCTTTCAAGGGACCCAGGGACGCTTTGAGGTAAGGCATGTTCCTTTCTATAGCACCTTTCAATCAGCAGGCAATTCAAAGTGCTTCACACAGCCACACAAAGCATTTCAAACATTTCACGTGACATTTTCAAGATAATGACGAGTTCTAAAAAATCCATTTCAATCCGGAGAGACTTCATTAAGAGTGAACAATCATTTAAGAAAATAATAATAATAATAATAATACATTGGTTTTATAAAGCGCTTTTCTAAAAACTCAAAGACGCTTTGACAAAAACATAAAACAAAACAAAAAACGACGAGGACAGTACAACGAAGAAGTAATGTAGGGGGGAGGGGGGGAGTTAGTGGTTGTAGGCAGTGATGAAGAGGTGAGTTTTAAGTGTCAGTGGAGGAGTTCAGACAGGTGGGGGGGGGGGGGAGCCAGGTTGTGGAGGGCTTTGTAAGTGAGGAGCTTGAAGTTGATACGCTGGGGGACGGGGAGACAGTGGAGGTCATGGAAGAACGAGGGTGATGTGGTCTCTGGTGCGGGAGTGTGTGAGGAGACGAGCAGCGGAGTTCTGGATGATGACTTCATGCACTCAGAGGGTTAGTGAGGCCGACAGCAGGATAGGACAGAGGAGTTTCGACCCTTATGGTGGTGATGATGCCCCCCTGAAGATCCCTGATTTGAGTGATTTAACTTTTGTGGCACGCCTCAGATACTCTCACACTCAGACCCCTTCTCCTAACAGATACACCCAGGGGAAACACTGAAGAAGGCTTTTCAAAGAAGGCTGTCCGAGGCTGCAAAATGTCATGAGCATCAGTCTAATAATCGGCCGTCAATGTAGCAACAACAGTCTGAAATGAAGAAAAGAGTTGACTCATCTTCCAACCTTGATGCCCTGAAGCGAGACAAACTCTGATGTAACTCATCTCTCTCAGCGCAGGATGTTTATGTCTGAATGTTGGTAGTTTCACCACTCGTGTCTGAAAATAACCGTTTCTGTTTCCTGATTTGAAGCTGCTCTGTGGTTGTTAATCTGTTTGTAAGACATCACCGCCCCCTAGTGGTGAACGTGACAAACTGCAAGGCAGAGGTTGAGCAGACACCTGCTCTTGGTACTAATTTGATCATACATTCATAAATCATAAATGACCTCATATTGATTACTGTGTGCGATAAGGATCCTGCTGATCTCTGTTATTAATAAACACTTTGTACTTTCCTTGTTGTGTGTTGGATTTAAGGTCAAGTGTGTCCCGTGACGGCGTACGACAAAAACGGGGTGCGGGTCCTTCTGCACTTCACCACAAACACTCCGCCGGAGAGACCCGATGTTCTGGTGATGGTGGCGTCCATGCTGAACACGGCCCCTCTGCCCGTCAGGAACGTTGTTCTGCAGGCTGCAGTGCCCAAGGTAAACCCTGCTGCGCCCCTCTCTCTGCTCACACTGAGCCTCGTTCACCAGCTCATCGTGTTGAAAGCTTTTAAGAAGTTTCAGACCGTCACAAAGTTTCTTCTTCTTCTTCTTTTTTCTTTGCAAAGAAGAAAATCTTACAAACACTCAAGAGCACTCACACTCTTACCATTTATTCCTCCATGTTGTACCTTTATTATACGACTAAATGACATTCATATAATGACATGATTACACATGTAGTGAACTCTTACTGAGATTATAAAACATTTAGTCCAAATGTAAGATGATGAATATAAACTAAGCTCATTGGAAACAGTTATCTAAGTGTTAAAGACAGTTTACAAAACCTTATCTTTGAGAATAAATGTACCCAAAAGTTGTCTGAATGCTGAATAATAACAAGCCATGGCATATGTCTGACAGTTATCTGTGGCGTCCCCGAGTCACTCCCTGGTGAATGAGGCCCACTGGTGCTGCATATGAAGCCACATGTTGAGTATTTAAACGTGTTTATTTTGGCTCATGACGGGGATGTCTGTTTCTTCTTCTGATTCTGCAGACGATGAAAGTGAAGCTGCAGCCGCCCTCGGGAACAGAGCTGGTTCCCTTTAACCCAATTCTTCCTCCGGCAGCCATCACTCAGGTCATACTGCTCGCCAATCCTCTGAAGGTAGAGCTCAGCGTGGAGTTCATTTTTGAGTTCATTAGGTTGTGTAACATGGACTTTGATTTTCTCTTTGTTTGAGGTCACAGTTTAGGACTGTGTTGCCCCTCTTTCACTTTCTGTTTTACCAACCAGTGAGCTTTTACAATTGAATAATCACTGATAAAACATGTAATCTTATTTGTTGCAGCGGGCTTATGAAAGCAAACCAAGCTGAGCGTGTGTTTTGTGTTTTTTCCAGGAAAAGGTTCGGATGAGATACAAACTGACATTCACGCTGGGCGAGCAGCCGCACACAGAGGTGGGAGAAGTGAACGAGTTTCCGCCTGCTGACACATGGGGGACCCTATAGCCCCCCCGTCTCTTAAGACTCCCAAGACTTCTTCATCCACTTATGTTGTCAGAGCATCTCTGAGCTTGACACAAAGGGGGGGGGGGGCGGGGTTGGAAAGCTTTTAGGGAATATTTTGAAGAATGTTGCGTAAACTTTAATGGACCCTGAAGGAGTTTTTTATGCCTGAGAGGGCCCCGGACATCCAACAGGGGTAGTAATTGTGGAGCAGGTTGAGGTTGAGTGGGGATGACGGCTTTGCAGAAGAAATCATCAGTTATGCTAATTCGGCTAAATTCTTATTATGAGTTTTTTTCTATTATTCAAGCGATTTGTTTCCTATATGAGTGTGAATATTTACATCTGTCCCTTTAAGTATGTCCAAACTGATCAGAGAAATATTGCACTTGACTTAAAGGAGATCTATTAAACTCACTTTCATCATTCATGATGTCGGTCTGGGACACATTGAGTAGCGCTGCAAAATGTGTAGCTCAAAAAAACTCATTTATCTGATACTGGCGTCAGTAAAACCCTTAATTTCAGCCTCTGTCCTGAAACGGTTCATTTCAGCTACTGTCTCTTTAAGAGCCCCGCCCCCCAACATGCACACTTTCCTCCAGTTGGCCAGATTTGTTTGAAGCAGTCACAGGGAAGTTTGAGTGAGCTGTTGAGCTCGTCCTTCAACTTTGCTCTTATGCTGCGCTCCATTTGATCTCGGAAGTGGAAATTTCCGAGTCGCCGGTTGAAACGTCATCAGGAACGCCTCCTGAAGTTGAAATTCTGACTCGGAGACTCTTCAGTAGCCCCGAGTTCAAATCCAACATGGCTGCTACGTGCATCAACGGGGACATTTAAGCTGTAACTGTTGTGTTTATTAGCAGCTTAGTCGTCTTTCTGTATAATTAAATCAATCACACCGATGGTATCGAGCAAGTTCTAGTATGTGGTTATCATCTGGCGTTAGCTAACAAAACAAAGGTATTCCTGGAGGAGTCCATGCTGCTTGTCCGACTTGCACGGGCGTCTCGTCATTCCCAGCTCCGAGATGAATGGAACGCAGCGTTGTACGTCGGCAGAAATCCAGAATCCTAACATTATATGTTTGTATTTAAATATGGATCAACATAATAGATCTCCTTTAAAAAAAAAAAGCTGCAAACACAAAATGTAAAGGTGATTGAAAAGCTGTGAATCATGAGAACTAAGAGGTCTAAACTCTGTTCAACATGACGTGGTGCTGACTTTGTTTCTTTACGTTATCACACTGAAGAAGAACAGCACTTAAAGATTGTCTCATCAGGAATCAGCTACTCTCACTTTTGTTCCTCCAGTTTGTCCGACACTTACTACTGAGTACTTTAATGACTTCTAGGTTCTTATTCAGCTCCAGCCGCAGTGTTTTCAGTATTTACCTTACATATTTATTATCATAAGTGTGTTATTTATTTAGCTTTTTTTGGGAGAAGGTTGTCAGATTTGTTAATGTCCTGTAAGGTATCTCTTTTTTAAGGCTCTTTATGACGGAGGGACACGTTCAGTATTGCAGTAAGACGAGCACTGATCAGTTGTGTTTGTCGAAGATGCTTTAGAGTTTTAAAAAGGTCATTTTTCTGTTACATAATGAACGAAGTGTTGAGCTAAGACGAGTTACATGTCAGGTTGTTGGGAGATTTTTTAATTGTTTATGTACAGTACAGGTTATTTTACCAGATAAACCAGCAGATACGTTCCTGTAATAATAACCCCTTTTGTTTTCAGTCACCACATCCATCGAGGAATACGTTCTGTATATGAAGATGAGCTTACATACACTGACAATTAACCTCAGCAGACAGAGAGGCATATTGTAAGGCACAGGTTCATTAAATGTCATGTATGGCTTTGAAGTAGGCAGTTTTCACTGGGTCACGTTATCGTTAACTCATGAGAGATTCATAGTGCAACATGTGGAAAATACAAGAATTGTAAATCTTGAGAGAAAATATTCACAGTCGAAAACATGTCAAAAAGCTGAATCTTTCTTTTGTCTTTCTGGGTTTATTAGTGCTGTAAAGGGGAGATTCTCTATATATTTCTTAATAAAGTATTTATTTGTCTGAGATTGTTCTATGAACTTGTTATTGCGTATTTTTAAACTCATGTTTCTTTGCATGGTTCGAACAATAAAAAATGGAGATGTATCTATTTGTGTTAAAACTTGCTCTAATTTTTTTTTTTTGCCTCTTTTTTGAACATCTGAAGACAAATCAGAGAAAAATTACACACAATTAAACAAGATTGTAATTCGTTAATGGAAATAAAAAAACGTGGTTTGATTTTCATGAGTCGCCCCGGAGCCCCTGAAGTCCCAAAAGGTAAAGGGGCTCCGTAGAAGTCTACATTTGTGGATGAGTTGTTTCTTTGTATATTTTTCACCTTTCTTTAGTCCTGCATGCAGAGGTGCTGCTTGTCAACAGGTAATGCAGGCAGCTGCTTGGGGCCCCAGACCAGTAAGGGGGGCCCTGAGGGCTCACAAACTTTAACTTTTTAACACTTTGCAACGACAGTCGGAAACCTCCTTAACCCAGAACTTCCACCATCTAACATCAACTACAACTAAAGATCATCAATGAAAGTCAACAAAGAGGAATGACCCGTCTGTAGGAGAGAAAAGAGGAAGAGGGGAAAAGAGGAAGAGGAGCCTCATCGTTGGGACTCAGACATGATGGTGATGCGTGCTGGTTGGAACTTGGAAGGGCCCCCCCAATTTGATTTACACCCAGGGGCCCAACAGAATCACCCACTGCCTGCATGCTTAAAGACTAAAGAGGGAAACGTAACCATTGGTTAACTTCGTATTTTAGCGCGGCTGCGTGTCGACGCAGAAAGTGGCGCGCCAGTCCGCGCAGCCGCAGTAGAGCCTCAGCGCAGACACAGCAGCAGCAGTCATGGCAGACGAGAAACCCAAGGTGAGGAAACGTTTCTTTTACCGGCGTTTTAAACCGTGTGTACCAAACTGCACGTCCTTATTGTACAGGTAACAACCTCTAAGTCCCGCGTGAGACCAATTCACGGACGACAGCACGATCTCAGAGAAGATTAAAGCAGAGATAAAGTGTTAGCTTTCAAGATAGCTTAGCGGAGAGGTTAGCATAATAAGCTAACGTTAGCATAATAAGGTAACGCGGCTAATCTGGCAGAAATTAATCATCCTGGTGTGTTTGTTTATACATTTAATAAACACCTCTGAACTGCCGCTGTTAGTAGCATTCATATATGAGTTGCAAATAGTGACAAACGATTATTAAATGATGACAAGTGTTCAAAATGTTAGCACGAAGCTAATATAAGTTAGCGCAGCTACAAGAGGACCAAATGCTGCTTTTTCACTCAAAGTTCATAGTTAGAGGCTCTAATACAACACTGTGCATGTTTTTACATCAAGAGCAAGTCCATAACATGTTGGGCACAAACTAGGAGTGTTAATGTGGGCTACTTTTAATTTAAATCCTTACCTGCTGTGCATTGTAGGCAACAGGCCGTTAGCATTTGCTGCAGCTAAAAGGCTAACTGAGTAACCTCTCCAGTTCATTGGTGCTTAAATCAAACAAATGTTGTGTTAGCTGAGTAAACAGCAATACAGGCTTTAGGTGTAAGTATTATAAACTAAAAGTCATGTGTGAACTCAGTCTAATGTCTTATCTTTTGACTGTTTTTGATCCTCACAGAAAAAGGTTTTTAACTAACTACTAAATGCTTCACAAAGTCTGGATGTCTCCTCACATTGTCTCCTCACTCTGTCTCCTCACTCATCTCACCTTCCTGCCACCTTCTCTTCCCTGCAGGAGGGAGTGAAGACGGAGAACAACGAGCACATCAACCTGAAGGTGGCGGGGCAGGACGGCTCCGTCGTGCAGTTCAAGATCAAGAGGCACACGCCGCTCAGCAAACTGATGAAGGCGTACTGTGAACGGCAGGTGAGGATGACATCGTCAGGTTGTGTCGACGGAGGGGGAATCAGCTGAGAGGCCGGAGTGTAGAGGCGTAAAAGGCCCTGACACGCCGAGGAGATTATCGGCCGTTGAGATTATCGGCCGTCCATCCTAGTTGGACCGTCGGTGAGAGGGATCTCTCTGATTGGCTGTTGCAGGTTTTCATTTCTGTCCAGCTCTTGACAAAGGGTGCGTTCGAATTGTCCCTCCTGTCTCCTTTCACTATCCACTTTACCTTAACCCCGGGGAAAACGTCATGAGGTTAAGGAAAGATGTTAGGTGAATTCATAAAGGACTTAGGGAAAGGCGATCTCGTTGCTCTGACAATCTGACCGCATTTCCACTAGGTGACGTCATTAAATGCGACGGGCCGGCGGAGGTTAATGACGTGGGTCTGCCGTGTTGAAACTACAATGTTCAGAAAATGGACTACAAAACACACATCTAAAAAACTTTCCCCTGTGCCTTCTTACCGGTGAAATAATCCTAATTACCACAAGGTTGGGATTGAAATAAATTAATATAGACCACCAGTAACAAAAGTGAAACCATCAGCTTCCTGTCCAATCAGAAATCAACATCAACATAAATATGATTGTATGAAATTAATTGTTACATTTATGTAAGATATAACCTACACATAATGTTTTAAGCATACAAATGTACAACTGCACAGCATTCTTAAGAGAATGTAATATGTTGAAAAAAACATCATCTGGATAAAAATGTCTCTTATCTTTTATCTCTTACATGATCTGTGTCACTTTGCGATCATCGTTAATGTTCATGAACAGTCGGATGTGCGACTCACTTTAAATGTTACTGCCGCAAGGAATTGTGGGCCGTCATATCTCATCTCCTTTCGCAAAGGATGGTCCGGTGTATCCTAAAGGAGGTTATAAAGGAAGCATTGACCCACCTTTCCTTAACTTTTAGAGAATTCGAACAGCTCTTATCATGGCCGCCACTTAAATGCTTCCGGGGTTAAGGTCAAGTGGATGGTGAAAGGAGATAGGAGGGACAATTCGAACGCACCCAGCGGTTCATTAAAGCCCCTTGAGCATGTCGCTGTAGTATCCATGCTTTCACCCATTAGTGTGGTTTCTCCTTATTTGTCTCCTCCGCCTCTTCTTTTCTTTTTCTACTAAAAGTAGACAACGGCAGCGCCTTTTTCAACTTTTAATCAGACATTATTCTCCATTAGTAGGCGACCTATAATACGAGTGGTGACCGACAGCGGGGTGAAAATTGTCTTCTGGTATCATAAAGAGCTACCGCTGTCTGCTGGCATGGAGCGTTATTTCCTCTCACTCGTGCAGATCGTACGTGGTGGTTAGCCGTCGGCTGTAGTCTTTGTGGTGTGTTCTAGTGCAACTTTTTAGCCAAGATGTGAGCTGATACCACAGGCGGCCTTCGTTACCACTAGTTCTTTGCCGTCTGCTTGGTGTGTCACCTACTTCTTGTGTGTTTACTCAAGTCATTGAATGTATTTTGATATTATTATTTTTTTTACAATAAAGCAATATCTTCAGGGACATTCTGTTGACAGATCCGGTTTTCATGTCAACAGGGAGCTAATAGGAAATGAGATGTAACAATGGTCTGGTCTGAAGCCAACCTTAGGCAGTGTGTTTCCTAGTCGAGCTCCTTCATGCTTAGGTCATCAGGATACAATGTAATGATTTTTTTCTTCATTTGTCACCTAGGGGCTGGCAATGAGGCAAATACGGTTTCGCTTTGACGGTCAGCCCATCAATGAAACAGACACACCTTCACAGGTAAGACTTTCGTTTTGTCAGTATACAACATGGTGCAGTATGTTACAGAGAAAAATGAGCAGTGGTGGAAATTTGTCAGTGACACATACAGTAGCTGTAGCTATTTTCTATGACTACAACTCAGCTTGCCATAAAGTGAAAGTGGCTAATTTACAACCTGTAGTATATCACCGACTTCAACAGCCAATCAACCTAAAGTTAAGTCAGCAAAAAGGGTCAAAAGAATCCAATCAGCATTTTGTTTAAGGAACAGAAATGTCTGACATGATGAAACTTGGACAGGCCTTCACCTCCACACAGCCCTGCTGGTGACTCTCTGTACGTGTAGCTCAGCCTCGCTCTTCACCTCAGGTTTTCAAAATATGCAAACAAGCACATATCTAATCTCCAAGTTCAAACGTGTTTATCTACAAAACCCTCCTCTTTTTGATCAGTCAGAACAGTAAATCCCATGATTTGACCAACATAAAAGAAACCTGGTTCCTGTTGCAGGCCTGTATCAGCAGGTCTAATCTCTTCATCCAGACTGAGTGAAATAATTGAATAGCTGGCCTGTTTACTACCTTCAAATCCTCTACCAGTGCAGTGAACTTGCAGCCTTTCTCAAGATGAAGCTAAGTAGCTAGAAACACAAGAATGTCAGAGTAAGATTGTTGGATACCTGTCGTGATGACATACTAAAGTCTTAATGATTGATTGATTCACTGCGCTCTTTTTTCCCAGTGACGCTCTCAAACACTCGTCCTCTACATGGGGCCAAGTGTTGTCCATTCATGTATTTTTGGGGAATTTACTTTGACAATTTTGTGGTTGTCTGACATTTAGAATTTAGCTGACCCTGACTGGTTTCTGATGTTCCTTACCCAGACTTAAAAAAAAAAGAAAGAAGTTGTTTTGCCGCATAAGCACACAAGAAGACAACACACAGGGACCAAATCAAGAGTATAATCAAACTTTAAAGTCGGTGAAAATAAGACATAAAAGAACAATATCAACATCATTAAAAATCAGTCGAGCTGTTACCAAAAAAGAAAGGTCAACTAAGTAATGCAGCGTGCAATGTGGAGGTGTAGACGTGCAGTGCCATTTAGTAAATGAATAGCAACATTGAAAAGCTTTTCAGTAGTCACTAACACCTTACAATCACTATTTTCACATTTTAAAATCTGTCATCAGTAGGCAGTGAGGTTGTAGAAATACAAGCGTTGCTGTATAAACACAATCCACTCTGTGCAGCAGCTGTGAAGCTAATCTTTAACCCTGCCTCTGCTCGTCCAGTATTTGTGATGTTTTTGTTTTGTCACAGTGAAGCACAGACTTTATAAAAGAGCAGGTATAAACAGACCAAAG